AAAAGTGAATTCGCGTTCTTTCAATCTTCACCGCGATTACTCCAAGTCACTAACTTTTTCAAATGTAGGCGAACCCTCCTAAAGTCGAATTCCCAAGAAACATATCCAAGTTCAGAAGGAGAGAGGAAATTTCGTCGTCGCTTGTGTACTTCCTCTGTACATTGTGAAATTAGGCATTTTCACGTCGTAGTCGTGCAGTGACGGCAAAGAAATGTACAAAAAAGCGTGATGCACGTGCAAAATTGTCGTTTTGCTAATTAAACCTATTGTTTTTGTGGCGTTCCCGCTGCCGTTGCCGTCGTCGGATCTTAAGCTCCCTATTAATTGGTAAAACGGTGGTATAATTACAAAGTAGGAACCAAAATAACGTCTCGGCTGGGAATTGAACCCAGATCTTCTGCGTGACAGGCAGAGATACTAACCGTTGTCCTACCGAGACCATTCATCATAAACCCTCCAAAGTTTAGTACATTATACAGGCATGTTAAGACTACGTTTAAAGGTATCTTGAAGTTCTAATAAAGCGTCTGGAAAATCGTAAATGTTTCTGATCCTCACAATGGCTGTTTTGGGTAGAAAGGTGGGTAAAGCAAACTGTTCTTCAGACATCTGATCACAGACGTAGAATAGATCTTCATCGCGTCTGTACCAGAACCAAATGTGACGTTGTGCATCAAACACGTAGAGGATTTTCTTGAGAACTTTAGCCATTTCCACCGCCCAACCGGTACCTCCAAAGCATAGGTTACTTTCAGGTTGAAAGGTTGTAAAGGCGAGCACCATATCTGCTTGTTTCACCAAATGATAATTTCTGTGAATGTACTGTAAGCTGATGGGATTGCTCAAAGGTTTGTTCAATCGAGCAGACACTTGGTTCGTGATCGGTGTGGCTTCTCCCAACTATTGATGAGTTAAGGGTGATAGATATTTGCTTAGTGGATACAAGGTGGAACGAGGATCTTGACAGGCAAACCAAAATCTCTGGTAAAACGTTCTGCTTCTAAATCAACACCATTGGCTCCACCACTGATAATCGTAAAAACATCGTGCTTTAGGGAATGAAGCAATGACATGACCAAACGGCCATATAGTCCTAGAGTCAACAATGCAATGACGTCATTGCCCGGACATGTTCAATTCCCACAGGGCTTGAAACTTTTAGCATCATAGTCATTGGGTTGTCTATGCAAGAATTTAAATAAGGCCGTCGTTTCTTGGTTCAGTTGATTAAAAATCTCTTTGTTCAAAGCATAGAGATTGTAATTCGCCAAAGGTAAACTCTGTATCAATAATAATAATGATACTAAAACATTTATAATGCGCAAATTCCATAAAATGTTCAAATGCGCATGACAAGATTAAAAACGAAATAAAAAGCCTAAAAAGCTAAAATTACAGTCAAGAGTAAACTTACAATGATTTAAAAAGCTAAAATTACAATTAAAAGTAAACTCACAATAATAAAAACAACTGTGATAAGAATGCATGACGGAAAAGGTGAGTTTTAAGCTTGGCTTTAAAAATACTACCTTTGCTGGCGCTTCTTATGTCAAATGGTAACGCATTCCTCAGTTTCGGTGCAGCACAGGTAAAAGACGGTCCCCTAGTGTAGCTTTAGATTTCAAACGCGGATAGCTAAGTAAAAGGTTATCACTAGAATTCGTTAGATTATATTTAGATTGGAGCCTAAGAGAAATGAGACGATAAATAAGTAGGCGCTAAAAAATTAAGAATCTTAGAAGTTATTAAAAGTATTTTAAACTTGATTCTATATATAATCGGTAACCAGTGTAATTCATAAATAAGAGGTGTTACATGACAAAATTTCTGCTCTCTAAAAATCAGTCTCGCGTAAGCGTTCTGTACTCGTTGCAGTTTATTCAACAGGCATTATGGTAGTCCATATAAAAGACCATTGCAATAGTCAAGGCGACTTGTTATGAGTGCATGGACAAGTATCTCAGTTGACTGCCGTGAAAGATACTTTCTGATCCGACGAATATTACAAATACAGTAAAATGAAGAGGCACAGAGTTTTGTGATGTGTGATGCCATGGACAGCCTAGAATCAAACCAACAACCAAGATTTCTCGCGAGTGGCACGGGATGAATATCTGAGTCACCCACACGTATAGCGATATTATCTAGCTTTTCCAGCTGTTGTGATGAACCAATGATGAGGAATTCAGTCTTGTCGTCATTAAATTTAAGATCATTGTTCAACATCCAAAAACGAATGTCTCTGATGCAGTCTTCCATATTCCTCACCACAGCAAGCTGTTCAGCTCTGTCGTTGGGACTAAATGAGATGTAAACTTGTGAATCATCAGCGTAACAGTGAATCATGGGCAGATGATATTTAATTATTTCAAAAAGCTCACTCGTGTACAACGTGAACAAAAGCGGACCAAGACAGGAACCTTGAGGCACGCCGCATTCTAATTTAAAAGATTTACATAGTGACTCGTTGATTATTATCCGCTGAGTTCTTCCAGACAAATAGGATGCAAACCAGGAGACGGCTTTTCCCTGTATACTAAATAACAGCCCAAAGCAATTTTGGTTTAGATTTGGGTTATTAACGGTAGACCAAATGTACGACCTAAAAAATTTTGCCTGTTTTATGGTCGTAGCGCAGTCAAAATGAGAGCCTAAATAACAGCCCAAGGTGATTTTGGTTAAGATTTGGGTTATTAACGGTAGACCAAATTTACGACCTAAAATATTTTGTCTGCATTTGTTCGTTTTTGGTTCATGGCGTTGAAATTAGAAACAAAAAAAGGAACAAAACTTTTTTTGGCTCAGGCTGTTAGGTTCAGCTTTGGTTGATCTTTTGCTCTATGTTTCCATTTAATGCCTCATTAAGGCCTTATTTTGGTTCAGTCAGGCCATAAGATTTCGTACGGGTATTCACGTCATCACAACACTGACTTAATTATCATTCATTATTTTAATCTCATTGAAATATGTTTTTCTGTCCTGTACAGTTCCTCCGAGTTTCAATGGTTTCAGTCGTGACCAAGTTGTGGTAGAAAGTGACCCTACTACGACCTCGTTAGACTGTCCTGCAGATGGTAACCCAGCACCAACTATCAACTGGACAAGAGTGTTTAATAATGGGAGTGACAGTGATTTGCTTTTTACTGGGAACCCGTATGTGATCAACAGCAACAGAAACAATGCTGGAAGATATCGCTGTAAAGCTGACAATGGCATCAGTAGTGCCATCAATCAGACAATCCGTGTGACTGTCAACTGTAAGTACACTGGTGAATTTCCCAGTCTTAGTGGTTAGATGTTGTTGTTTCTGAACAAACAATTTAAAATAAGACAAATGTGGTATCGAAGTGAGATTGTCTTACTGCTGAACTGCAGCTGAGTAGAGTTTAGGAAAAGAATTTATCAGATACTGTCAACTTTCTCTTAAATGGACACTTCACTAATACAGACACCCACAGTGTAGAGTCGGCCCCAGTCTTTCTTTACTCTTTTAGTTGAATTGACTCTCTATAATAATGCCCAACTTTCTAAGACGGACACATAGTGCCAGTCCCAAAGGTTTAGAGTCTCGAGTTAACTGTAAACACTTTTTTAACTTTGAAAAAGAAAAAAATACAAAGGTTGAATGTCATTCCATGATTGTTTGATAATTAAACAAATATCTACAATGACAGGTTTACCAAAAGCTTAAGTATAACTGATTATTACAATGCTGCAATAGGAAAAGGGGTAAAAAGAACCTGTTTTAAGTAGTAGGGCCTGTAAGTGTCAAAGGAGTGAGATTTTCTTTGAGAGGTAATACACTTCGTACTGAACAAAATTATAATTAAAATCAGTACACTGTAACATTAGGCTGTGTTATAAGGAAAATTAAAGGATGCCCAGTGCTCTGAATCTGCAAAATCCAGGGTACCCAGCATATGATTTTTATAAGTAGCCCAAGGGCAAAAGTTGGGTACCAGGGGCCACTGGGCAGTGCTAGCACACAGCCCTGTCAGTATTATTTAATTAGCATTTTGCTCAATTGCTTTTATCTGGATGCACAAATTGTTTGAAAAGACCTAAGAAGTGTTTATGTCTGGTCAGAATTAACATTGAACTAATAAAGTAGAATAAAGGGAAGAATTAATACATGGTTGAACAATATTATTTATTAATTTATTGTAATAATGATGCCTTGTTTTATTATTTCAGTCAAACCAGAGAATGTCCAGTTAACTGTGAAGGACTCAAGCATCTGTCAGGGTGATGTATTTAATTTAAGCTGCTCTGCTGATGACGATCCTCCTGTACATACTTTCCTGTTGTTTGAAAATGATACCCTTCTAAATCCCAGTGGTAGTTCAGTAGTAACCAGGACAGCATCAGCTGGAGGAGTGCTTGTTTACAGATGTCAGGCGAATAATACTGTGGGAACGGCAAAAGCAACAGCAACGTCTGTCACTGTAAATGGTAAGAAGTGAAAAAAATAATAATGTGCATTTGTACTGTATTTACATGTACATGTAGATAATTAATTTTTAATCCACTAACAAACAAACAATACGGCATTTAATACATTATGCTAGAAAAACTGGTCAAAGGCAGGCCAACAAAAATGCAACAAATTGGTGCCACCATAATAAGGCTATTGCTCCTTGTCATTAGCTGGTAAAATACATTTGACTTTATTTAATGTTATGTCAACCGGACATAAAAAACTTGAACCTCAAATGCAATCATCTCCATATATCCTTTTTGATGTAGAGACTACGGCTAGGATCACGGCCATTTCTCGCGCCACTAAAAAAGCACAAAAGAGCCGAACAGGGGTCGAGATTTGGGCAATTTTTGGTAATTTTAAAAGTTCCAAAATGGAAAAAGTGTATATAGACCCGATTTCGAAAAAGTGCATATACTGGGCATTTCGTGAAAAAACGACCGTGATCCTTTGTTTTTTTACATAATAATCTACTTTGATCTGGGAAATAGTCGAAGCATTTTGCTTCTATACTTCCTTTTTACTCCCAATCTAAAGAAAACTCTTTGACTAATTCTTGTTGTATTTTTGATAATTGCTCGAATGCTTCTTGTTTATTGTCTGTATTATATCGTCTTTTATGATATATTCTTTTTCCATCAATTACTGTGTTTATTGAGAGATAGTCATTTATCGTGTTATCTTTAATCTGGAATTTTACTCCTAACTTTTCTAATCTCTCTTCAAGCTGTTTTTGATTTTCCATCTCAACCTTAAATTCATTTTTTATCGTCTTTTCTTTTTTGACTCCTTTGATGTTCAACAAATCATCTCCATATTCCTGCTTGTATTCATTTATATAACTGTTTTCAATTTTTTCCAGCGTCTTTTTATCTTTACATGGGCACAAACATATTAGCTCAATTGTCGGATTATCATTTCGATATTCATATATTGCGCTTTTGGGATTCAATATATGTTCATCTAATCGATCTTCTAAAGTCCTTGTTGTTGAACCAACATAATGTTCATCATTATTTTCGAATGTTACATGATATATCTTTCCGTTTTGATAATCCGCATTGAAGTATGAATTTAGTATAATCATTTGATCTTGCTCACGTTCACGATACCATCTACATTTTTTCTTGTTGTCAAGATGTATATATTCGAGCTTTGTAGTTCGAGATAAACTTGTGTACATCTCTTTGATATCCATTTTATGAGTATCCCAAATATTGTAATGCTCATCTATTTTACCACCTTGGTATTTATAAACTGTATTACAGAAATTAGGGAAGAATGATTCTCTAAATTCTTTTTTAGTAAATGTTACATTATTAATTACAAAATTTAAATCTTCATTTTCATTACCATAATAATCAGTAAATTCACCGCCATAATAATCAGTAATATTATCAATTTGAAATTCCATCATATTATACATTTCATGTTTTTTCATATTTTGTGTAGCAATTACTGGCATCCCAATACACACCTTATATTTTTCAATTTGTGATTTATATTTGAAATTTATTTCATGTGACACTTTATTTTCTACAAACCGATCACAACAATTTTTAGTAACTGCTCTTCGCGTATCATTGAGCCAGCAAATAGTTTTGTAGTATTTTCCAATAGGTTGGAATTTGTGTCTTAGATTTTTGTATTTCAGAAAGTTGTTTAACATAATCCGTGTTTCATTGTCATAGCGAGCTGATCCTTCGATATATTCCATTTCTGAAAGTGAATTTGATTTAAAATAATTGTGTCGTATTGATTTTACACGACTGATTGGTTCACATTGATTTACATCGCCACTCATAATTATTGTAATATCGTGTTTAGTAAATGCTTGATATAATAATGTCATATAGCGATTTGGTGTCATTGAATATTCATCAAGAAACACAATTTTATCTTTCAGATCATTCATACCTCTTGTGCTATCAAAAAAGTAGGAGTCAAATGTATGACATAATTTATTGACTTCAATTGGTGATAATTTTTGTTTATCTTCTAGAATATTTTTAATATTAACCACAGCTTTATTGGTATGAGAAAATACAATACATTTGTCACGATTTTCGTATATTAATGACAAATACGCCATGATTTACCGCATCCAGCCTGCCCGTAATATATTTTTCCAGTTTTGCTAACTTTATCTGTGAAACTTTTATAATCCAGATTTTGGCGATAATGTTTATCGAAGTAGTTTGGTTGGCCATTTGTTATAAATGGTTCACCGATTTCTTTGACATCGAATTTAACGTCAGCTTTGTTTCTGTATGAGTATTTTGGACGTGTCATATAGAAGCCATCTGTATTTATTGAATATAATTTCGAATGTGTAGTCCAATTTTTTTTCAATAGTTGAAGACATTGAAGAATTGATTGTGATATGATAAATCTATTGATACTAGTCTGATCTGATAATATTCTATCAATTTTTTGTTCTCGAATTAGATACACATTTTCAAAATTATCATTTGTGATATTTTTACCATCTATTAATCCTTGAGTCCATATATTTTGAGCAGTTTCTAAATCTTGACATGTGAATCCATAATTTGTCCGATTATATTTGCGCCCTAAATCGCCTATAAAACTGTTTGCCATCTTTTTCGCAATTTGTTCTGGAAATATTTTGAAGATATAATTCATAAAATCCTTGAATGTATCCTTTTTGATTCCATGTCTGGCAATTAATTTGTATTTGATATTTGAGATTGGCATGCCGCATTCATAAAGCGAAGAAATCGATAATAGAAGTATGATAGAATCCATGTGGGAATTTAATCTGATTACCAAATTTTTTGATTGTAAATGTGTCAATATAGAATTCTCCATTTTGGTTTAATTCCGGATAATATAAGCCAATATAGTTATCCATCTCCTGTTTGCCTTCGAATTTTTCGATATTATCGTGAATTGTATATATTGGAACCGTATAGGGATTTTTTATTAGAATCGATGGAAATTGTTTGCAGATATCGATATTGACCAAACCCTCAGGTTTATCATCAAAGCTGCACCATTGTAAAGCAATCGGATAATATCTGTCTAATATTTCTCTGGTTTTGTTATTATAACTACGTTCTGGAATATATCCGACCATAGTTTTAAACAATGAATTAGTTAAACTAGTCCAACTTTGATTTGCCCATTGAAAATCGTGAATATTATGTGTTTGCTGTATTTGTTTGCAAATCTGTTTACGAGTTTCGTATTCATTATTTTCAACATACATATTATTTTAATGATCGAGAAATCCATCGAGTTTACCATTATTATTGAAATGCATGTGCTCAACATAAGAACCCAAACTTTGCATATATCCCAAATATATACCGCAAGTAAATAATTTTCGCAGGAGACGGCTTATTAGTGTAAATTTTATTATAAAACGACTATTTGACATTTTAGGAGAAGAATATAAGATTATTCCTATTACTCAGTCATAAAATACACTACGATGTTATGAAAATTGGTGGAAGAGGGTTTATTCCTAAATCAAGGCTGATATTAGCCTCCCGTTTTTTCAGCATTCGGACCGGAACTAGGGAAAGCCCCTAACCAGAAATAGATTTTACTTATTGAGCGAGAGGCCCTGGGGACGAGGTTGTTGTCTCAAACTCTCCGCCATTTTGTTTTACATTTTGTCTTGGACAGAAGAGGAATTTTTTAGCGTATTGCTTTTCGAATCTTGTAACTAATGGGGCGAAATCGATAACTGTTTCATCGAGGACTGTCATCTCCTTCAAGAAGTCGTCTTTATCAAAGGTACCACCTCGCAGCGAAGTCCTCAACTCGACTAA